AAATTGTGTCTATATATCAAGTCAAATTAGAAACTAGATTTCAGTTCGTACAAACTCGACTTTTCCGTCATTTTTTGCGTTGGTGCATTGATGAATATTTATGCTCATATGTCATTACTTCATCCTTTACTTTATTGCATTTTGGAAAGCAGCTTCTTATTCTTTTGTGAAGACTGCCAATATTACAACGTTAAACCAATATCTGGATTAAGTTGGAGGTGTAATGGCAGTTATCCAGCAAACGATATCGTCGACATCCTTCTTCTGGGATAATGTCACCGTAATTACAGAAGATCCGCAGTGTTATACCGTGAACGTTTCCTAATGGTACTATTCGTCTTCTCGAATTGATAACTCGACGAGGTCACCTTCGGCGACAGAGAGCTTCAGATTCAATCCCGAATATATTTCGCAACATTTGTAGAGGTGAAGGTTGATTTTTATAGTCGACCTTCAAATGATCTTGACAAAGTGGAGGTCTAGGACGAATCGAAGGTCGTGATGTAAATCCCATCGATTCTGGAGGTCAACATCTTCCGAGGCTGCTTCAAGGGTGACAAATAATTTAAACTCGTTGTGACCTCGACCTTGACCTCAAAGTCAAAGTTGTGATCACATACGGATGTAAAATTTTCTGCTGAATTCATTTCCAAGGGGGATCAAATTTAAAATAGGGAGTCTTTAAAATTCCGAAGTTGACCTTCAATTGACCTTGAAGGTTAGGTCAAGGTCAAATCCTAGGTAAACAACTGGTTTCCCCCTGTGAACTGAACAACTTTTACTTTAGGCAATTTTTCGATTGCATGAAAAAAATATTGAGAATTAATTATTTTGAATATTGCATAAATTAAAGTAAATCACGAGAAAGTTATTACCAAAAATTTTAAAATCACTAAATAATTTAAAAGCCATTTTTGTATATTTTGTCATTGGGGGTGGTTTTTAAGGGTTAAAATAATGCGATAAATTATAAACTGTATTACAAACAGGTAAAAGAATTTAATTTATCTTGTTTGTAGGTACTATCAAATCATCTCAAACTGTTAAAAAATATTTTTTTAAATACTTTGTTATCGGAGAACTTTACGCATTCATAGAAGTTTGCTGGAAACTGGTATGTTACAAAAGTAAGTTAATTAACAAAAACGTGGTGGAGTCGGGCGACCAAGTGACGCAAGAACTGTTCAAACTGAAGAACTGATAATACATTGCTTGGAAGAAAATCCACATACCAGTGTTCGAAAATTATCGTCAGCTCGTAATATTACCAAAATGGTAGGACATGACGTACCTACTTAAAGAACAGCTATTCTACCTGTCCTCCTACCATCAAAAATTTATCATTAATGTATGGATGAGAATAATTGGAAGCTACTTAGTGGGACCACATATCATTGATGGCACTTGAAATGGGGATAAATACCTGTCTTTACTACAAGAAGATCTTAACCTGTTATTGGAAGACATCTTTTTAAATATTCAAAATAAAATGTGGCTTATGCACGATTCCCATTTTAGCAGGGTAGTAAGGGCTTATTTAAATACCACGATCGATGGATCAGTTGAGGTTAACCTTTCCGTGCTTCGGTCTCCCCATCAGAATCCTCTCGTTTTTTTCTTTGGGGCCATCTTAAAAGTTTTGTTTATCAAATTCCTATAAATAGTACGGAAGAATTATTAAATCGCTTAATTACATACGCCGACATCATTACAAATGATCACCACGTTATTTCGAGTACAGCAGAGGTGTTTGAGCAATTTCAGAAAATGCATTGAAGTTCAAAGTCCATATATTAAAGATCTTATTTTTAACCATTCTCTTTTTTCTTTTAATAATTTCGTAGAAACTAAGATTTTTAAGTGAGAAAGGAATTGAACTATGAAAGAAAAATACCAAATTTGGCAACGTTGTTAAAGATGTATAAATTTAAATGGATAATTTCGTCTTCTCCTGTATAATCCAGACATATTGAATATCAGTTTAAACTTGGAAATGAGCATTACCACGAGTTACTTTAATAGCCCAACTTCTTTTTTTAAAGGCGAATAACATCCACAACGAAGCCCGATAGGAAAAATTTTTTTACGAAGTACTTCAACTGTTTTGACCTACACTGCATACCCCTCTATTTTTGACGTGACCTTTCCGGACACCCTGTATACTCACAAAAATTTAAAATTCCTTTTAATGAGATAATTGAAATATGAATATGTATATAATTGAAGTGCCGAAAATATCGTAATATTAAAAAGCCAGTCAAGGGGGCTGAAGAGCATAAAGGAATTAAACGCAATCGTGAAAATTATGAGAGTTGCTACACTTTTTTACTTCACAAACTGATGAAAGAACACATAATTAACAAAAAATTTCAAGGTAAAGGGGTTTAAAGGGCACTAAGAAATTTTTAAAAAAATTACAAAAATTAGGAAAAAGCATGATAAACATGTCAAAGAAATACAAAAACTCAAGGGTTAATGGGGTTAAAAGGAGCAAAGAAATTAAAAAATTAGTGAAAAGTAAGAAAGAATTTGTGACATATATTTATAATTTGTACAATGGTCTTGTGACCATTGAATTGTGTTGTATATCATATGTTGAGGAAGCGCAGAGTCCGGAGCTAAGGAGGTTAAAGGTAAAAAAAGCAAAGTTGTAAGTAAGCTCTTACTGTATATAAATTTTTTAGAACAATTCATCTAAGGTAAAACTGGTAATGAAAAGGCAGAGCTGTTTACACAATTTATTTCACTTGACAAGAAAACTCTTCACTATATTTATGTATTAAATATTGTTAAATATGTTGTCAATACTGTAATGTGCCAAGCCTTGCTTGCAAAGTTAACACTGCAAATTATCCTATGTCATCTTGTACAGGAAATCGTTTTGCTTCTCTTGGTGCCTTATACCGAGTACCAGTATACAGGGTGTCTCATAATTACCTGCCAACCCTGAACAGGCCGATTCTATGATTAAAACTAAGTACAAAAGTTCATATGAACATGGGTCTGGAAATGCTTCCTAAGGGCACAGGGACCCATTGAAGAGGGAGGAATGGAAATCATTTTTTTGCAATATCTCTCAATCGCGTTGTGACAAATGAATGAAATTTGGTATACACAGCTAAATTTGAATGAGCAATTTGATGGACTAATCCATTTATTTCCACAAGGTCCATTGGGGTGGGTACGGGGGGGCCCTTGGTACTTTGCGTGTGTAACTTTTTCATCTTTGACTTTTTAACAAATTGGACAGCAAATTCCGTTTTCCCGAACTGTTTTACGTTAAAAAGGTACTCTTGTTTCAAATCGTTATCTTTAACGGTTTCTGAGAAAATCGCTCTTGAATTAATCCCACTTTGGTCAATTTCATAGTAATTTAAACAAAAAAAAATATTTTGTTTCAATTTAATCTAGTTTTAATAAAAAAATAATAATAAAAAATTAAATTAAATAAAAATTAATCCTTTAAATGGAAAAGAGAGGAAAGGAAAATTATTATTATTATTTTTTGTTTAAATTACTATGAAATTGACCAAAGTGGGATTAATTCAAGAGCGATTTTCTCAGAAACCGTTAAAGATAACGATTTGAAACAAGAGTACCTTTTTAACGTAAAACAGTTCGGGAAAACGGAATTTGCTGTCCAATTTGTTAAAAAGTCAAAGATGAAAAAGTTACACACGCAAAGTACCAAGGGCCCCCCCGTACCCACCCCAATGGACCTTGTGGAAATAAATGGATTAGTCCATCAAATTGCTCATCAAAATTTAGCTGTGTATACCAAATTTCATTCATTTATCACAACGCGATTGAGAGATATTGCAAAAAAATGATTTCCATTCCTCCCTCTTCAATGGGTCCCTGTGCCCTTAGGAAGCATTTCCGGACCCATGTTCATATGAACTTTTTTACTTAGTTTTGATCATAGAATCGGCCTGTTCAGGGTTGGCAGCTAATTATGAGACACCCTGTATAGCATCTTACTAATGATACCACAGGGGTGTAGGGCTATATGTAATTGTCTTGGAAGATTTCATTAAAGTACAAATAAAACTTTAGTATCTATATTTGAAAGCGTACATTTACTATGAGAAATAGAAAAAGTTTAATTATATAAATGTATTTCAATAAGTACTGTTGTTTTCGAATCGACCAATAGTTGAAATAACTTGTGAGAGCATGTTTTCTTCTTGTTCATGATAATTTAAATCATAACTTTGCGATGTATTAGAAGTAGCTCGCAGATGGTGTTGATAGGTGTACCCGAGTCGATAAATTTGAGCTTTGTAGATGTAATACAAGTTGAGGTAAGGGCTCTCGAGTCATTATAGATTGTAATTTTTCCTGACAGATTATTAGAACTCGTTGAAGAAGCATTTTTTTTGAGTTGTAAAGTATTACAAAACAGATAAAAATCGCTCAATTGATTCGAGTGATAGGTCCTACTGTTTTCATCTGATATTTTTTGTAGTTTATTTAATGCTTCGTTGGCAGTTTCTATTCTATTCCGAGATGCAAGTATCAGTGCACGCCTTTTTGAGGAGAATGGTATTAGTTACATGATTATCAACAGTAGATTTTTGCGACTCCCTACTAATAGCATTTATTTCATCATTTAAATCTGTATGGGGAGTCAATTCACAATTAAAAAATATTAAAATTATTAAATTAAACTTTAAATAGAAAAATTGTATCTTACGAAAATTAAAAAAAAATACCTGTTTCTATCAGTTGATTATGAAACGAAAAAATTGAAACATAAGTAGGAACAAATATCTCAAGGTGGGCCCTATATGTCAATATTTTATTTCACAAATTACATTTGAAATTTTTGCATCTGAAAGTTTTCTAGGCAAGTTAGAAACCACCTAAAATATGGTATAGATCCCATGCTTCATTATCAAAATAGGACCAAAAATCGCTAATATAAGTGCCCAGTGAAATGTTTTACAGTCTATGTCCTGGTGCTATTCTAGTATGAGAAAAATATAATGAAAATCAAATTAATATTTTTGTTTTTATTAAATATCAATTCAAAAGTATACAAATACGAACTTAATTGCTTATATCAATCCTTTTCCTTTTCTTATGATTAACAACCATACTAGCTGCCTCTATTGCTGCTTCCGATTGAATTAGCCAATGATTAAGTTTCATTCTTGCATTATAACCATCCTTAAATATAGTTTTTTCTAAAGTATCTAACTGCCGTTGAACAGAGGGGTTTGACAGAGAATTATTTGCTAAGTCCATTAACTGTCTAAATCGAGTTTTAAATGTCTAAAATATAATTTCATTAATTAAAAATTAAAGCTTGTAAAAAATTATTGTTGACAAAAATGGAGTACAAAAGTTACCCCGACATTGGTCCAAAGTTGCTTTATTTGTAAGCTATATTGTATTTGACATTTTACACAAAATTACATACAAGGTGTTCTATATTTAGTCCAGTTACTTAGGGTTTTTACCTCCGAATTCTTTATAACTTAACCGATTGACTTGAAATGTTGACTGAATGTGGGGAATGCCTCAAGAAACAAAATTTATATAGTGCCGAAGTGTGCTTTTCCCTGGGGGTGGTTCCCACCTCTTCTTGAGGGTGGAAATTTTTATGCCCAAAATAACCACAGGAATCGATAGAAGAGTCAAATTGAAGTAACAAATGTTATATAAAGTTTTTTGGATAATCCAATACTTTCCGAGTAATTCGTCATTGAAAATATTGATTTTTTACTGAAAAAGTACTTGTTTTCGGACAGTTTTTTGCAAATAACTGAAACCATTGGATTTTACGAAAAAGTTGTAATGAACAAAAAGAAAGGAATAAAAAAACAAATCTAATGGCATTATTTTGTTTTTCTCTAATTGCAATATAAACTGAGTTATGGATTTTTAAACATTATTATATGTTAGCTAAAAACTAAATTGGAACCAATTAATGTTAAATAACGCCAAAACCATAAATATTAGGAAAAAAACTATTTGAACCTTTTTTAAAGTACTTTGAAAACCCTTTAAAATGAGCTGTTTTAAAAGTCTTTCGAATCAAAATTAACGAAAATATGATCGAAATAACATGACAAGTCTCATTTTTTTTAAGAAAAAAATAATAAACAAATCAGTGCCTTTAGCTACAGAATTAAAATTAATTGCAATCCATTTACAGATTTCTTCATTTATGTTCTAAGAATATGTTCTGGGTCTTTGGCTCACTTACAAAGCATGATTTAAAAAAAAAACTTAATTTTTGAAAATGTTATTTTCAAATTTTTGAAAAAAAATCGATTTTTACTTAAAAATTAAAGGGCGTACAAAAAAAAATACAAGGGTAAAAAAAATTAGCTTTACTTTTGCTGAAGATTTTGCTTTTTTTTTATTCCTCTAAAATTAATATTAATCGAGATATTGCCATTTTAAGTTATTATATGAATGAGAGAACCACCCTTTTCGAGCCCTTTAAACCCTTCAAACTTAAAAATTAAGGACTTAAAAAAGATCAACTCAACAGTTCACGTAGCCGGCAAAATTAGCCTTTGTGCGATTAAAAATCTTAAAAAGTAAGAAAGTTATCGTCAAAAAAATAGGTGTATAGGTGATAATTTTAGGAAAATTTAGGTTAAACAAGAATTTTGAAGCATTTAGATCTTTTTTGTATATACAGGGTAGGAAAGTACCGATGGTCTATCAGAAGTTACGTGAGAGCGATAAAGTAAGCCATAGAAATCTATGCGATAGAGAAGGATGGCTATAATGAAGGCGTCTCATAGTCACCGCCCGTTTCGCCCTTCCACAAATAAGATCCACTTCTTATTTGTGAAAGGGCGAAATGGGCGGTGACTATTAGACGCCTTCACTATACCCATTCTTGTCTATCACATGGATTTCTATGGCTTACTTTATCGCTCTCACGTAATTTCAGATAGACCATCGGTACTTTCCTACCCTGTATACGAATTTAGTATATGTATATTCGAATAAACCAGTAGTATATTATAATACACACTATACTACACACACCCACACATGCACACACACCCACACAAAGAAGAACCTTTTTCATGGCTACTTTTTGCCCTCTATTGAATAGCATAATCAATTTTTATATGTAACGTTTCGTCTCTCTAGGACCATCATCAACTTCATTTTTTTAAATACGACCCTGTAAATTTTATTACATTTTTTGCAAGTCTTCATGACCCCCAATATTGTACTGCCCGAACCAGATTTAGACGTTTTGTCTTGAAAAATTCATCTTCAGTGTATTCGTTCCAAATTTATCTCAATTTTTTTATTTAGATTTCTTTGTTTATTGAATTATCATACACTCTAAGTGTCGTTAGATTCTGTGAAATCTATCTAGTTATTTAAACTATTAATTAATAAGTTGCAATCAATTTAAAATTATTTTATAAGAAGGGAATAAATGTTTATTTAATACGAATGCACATTTAAATTGTTTCTACTCTTTCAATAATATTTTTTCTTTTATTTTCGAAAGAAGGGGTATTTTTCAACGGTTGAAAAGTTGCAACCCAAAAACAGATTTTTTAATCAAGAAATCAATTTTGATAAAAATGCATGACTAAAACGTTTCAAGTTGAAAAAATGTTTTTCATCCAAAATGGTGGTTTTTAAAGATTTTTCGGGGTTGAAAATTTGGGATACATTAAGTTTCATGTTAGATAGCACATAAAATTACTCATACTGCATAAATAAAAAAGATTTGATTACATAAAATACTTAAATTTGTATTTTTTCTTTTTTCCAACAAGGGGTGGTTTTCCTCCCTTAAGAACAAAAAGCACACCTAGCGCATATATAAGTTTTGAAGTGTGGGGTAAGATGAGCCTAATTCTAAATTTTGAGAAAAATCGATGCAGTTTTAAAAAATTTGGAGGTATTACTATATCAGCTACAGGAACTGGGCTATATAGTTTTGTGAGTATAACGTAATGGTCCATAGGTCTATGAAATTATGAACAATAATAAACATATTATTTAGATCTATAAACTAAATAAATTCATTTCACAGATGTGTAATTAATGAACTTGTTTTCAAAATGCTGAATATAAGATTATGTTCTATCTATAAATGAAGAGACAATTCTTATTTCACTCGTGTCTCCTTTTAATTAATAATTGGGCAGCTTGTTGAATATGCTTCAGTAATTGATTTCTTGTGTTTACAATAAATTTTTACATGTAGGTGATCTAGGCGGTATTCAACTCTCAAATAAGTTTTTTTAATTAAGATAAGTTCTTACTTGGTTTATAAAACTTGTTCCTGTTTATTTACTCTTCAGATTTTCATAGGACTGTAACTCCAGAACAAATAATTGACCTACAACTTGTGTGGGAATGCTGAGTGAACTGGCTACCACTAATACGGTTATACTGTGTTGGGTACCAGGATATAAAGACATTGATGGAAACAAGGACGCGGATGAACTTGGTAGGAAGAGATCCAAAACAGAGTTCATTGGCCTGGAGCCCTTCTGTGGCACATCTCCCAGTGTGGTTAGGGAAGCTTTGGGCAAATGGATCGAGTTAGAACACAAGAAATACTAGGCTTCATTTGTAGGAAAAAAACAAATGAGTTACTGAGCTTAAATAATATTCGGCTGAGGAAAGTGATGGGACTTATAACTGGACAATTTCACTTTTATTTAAACATTTATACAATCTAAAGGTTGTAGACAGTTCAGTCTACCAAGGATATGACTCGGCAGACGAAACCTTTCAGAATTTGCACATAGTAGAATAATACTCTTGGGAAAACCCTATCTGGACCCCATGACCTGAGAGAAGTGTTGTCAAGAAAACTTTTGGACTTTGTAAAAAAGACAAAACTACTTGCTGAATAGGACTGACTAATGGGGCGCACAATAGCGCGGTGCTATGAAATTTGATTAGAACCAACCACTAGTAGGGGAAAACCGGGCAAGATGGGGTGGTGGACAGGACGGGGTACTAGGCTATTAACACGATTTGAATCAACCAATCACATTCGCTCTAGCGCCGAACTATTCACCGCCATGACAGCTCTCAATTGTGTGAGTATTATCACAACCGCTAGTCAATTGTTGCTATTGCAGAAAAAGTGATTTAGCTTGTTTGTACTAAAATTTCTTCATTATAAGTTTGGTACTGCGAAAATATTAGGACTTGTGTTTTCTGCGGCAAATCTTATCAACAGGAGAGTGTAGTAACAGGTAAGAACTTTTTTCTATAAAATATTTCCTGTAATTTTATATTTAATTATAAATTTCAAAACTGATGAGCTGGTGAATTATTTACTATAACACCACCCCATCTTGCCCGATAGTTTGGGTAAGATAGGGCGATATCTAATTTTTCATATATTGTTACCTAATTACCAGTGCAATGGTTAGATGTTACTGGTTTCATGTAATTATTCAAGAATGATAAAACAAAATGACTGAATAAGGATAAATACGATTCTAAAACTACTAAATCTAAATAATTGAGCTTTGATCCTTAACTACCCCATCTTACCCGGTCTACCTTTATGAGGAGAAGATGTGGGCACAGCATTCAATGCGCAAATCTACATTGAATGCCTACGAAAATGAAAATATTAGCAAATGTAACAAATAGACTGATTAAAATAGAAGTATGTTGGATATGCAGTCAAAAATTCGTTGGTTTTTTCCAAAAGAAGAAATCAACAAATTTCTTGCAAACATGCGAGATGACAGCTTTTTATCGATTTTTACTTCTGTTATTTTACTAAATTATTGTTTTATGGTTGCTGATTTTGCTGTTGCTAGCAGATGTAAGAACTAATGAAAATGAGCATATAGAACAAAACCGTGATGTTCTATTGGTCAATTTTTTATTTACAAAAACTCACAAGTGGTCTTTCATGATTTTGAGTAATGGCTTTGACATTAGAGCTGTGTCGAAAATACCTAAGTTTATACGTGCAACTGTTGGAAAAAAGTTTCTTCTTTATAACTCATTTTATAAGTGACATTTGTGACATTATAAGGGAATTACAAAGCATTGTTGGGAATTGCAAGGATATTACCGTGTATCAGAGAGCATTGGTCAACATTATTTAGGCATTACAAGACATTACTCCAAAATTTAAAGCACTAAATGGGGATTAATGTACAAAATTTTGGGTAGCGGTTTGCCTCTTGAATCTGGATTACTTTAAACACTGTCAACTTACATCTAATAAAACGGTATGAACATGTCCCTGCATATCAAAATGTTTAATATGCCATCCCAATTCAAAAAAGTATAAATTGAACCTGTGTAAATCTACTGCACAAGCATCGGCTTTTAATATTTCCTGATAAGCATGTCTATATATTTTCGGTAACTCTGGTTGTACCACTGGCTGGCGGCCTGTAGACATTTCTAAAACTAACCACACAGGTAATTCTAAATTTGTTCCAGCTGCTAGATCTGTTTCTGCTGCAGAAGGATTTAATTTTCCTAAAAGATATTTATAAAATCAAAATAATAAAAAGCCTAACCACTTACATTTCATACCCATCTTTGGAATATTTAGTAAAAATTTACAGGGAACACGTTCTTGTGTAGCTAAAATATCATCTATAGAATAATAATTAGGGAAATATGATAAAGGTAATGGCATTTTTATTTTCATTCAGGGTACGATACATTCATAGAGAAATTATTTATGAATTCGTTAGCTTTATTCCCGCCATACACTTTATAAACGACTGGACTTCCTCAACTGTCATTCATTTTGCTAATATAAAACCACAGCGTAATAATATACAGCTAGAAGAGTCCGTGTCGGCGGCGTCGGCGCCTTTGATGTGGCGATCGAGAACCAAGCGAGACGGAATCGTGCTAACTCTCTTAGATTAAGCGGAATAGTCAGGCTGGATTAAAAGAATTTTTATTATTGAAATAAAATACTTAGTTTCTACCTGACAGTACCGTAGTAGGTAATTTTAATAATATGAAATTTGAATTAGAATATTACGTGGTATGACATTAAAAGTAGAAAATGGGTATTTTAGATAGGTAATAGGATTTGTACTTGGAGTTAATACGGATTCTTAAAAGAAAACTTGAAGAGTAATTAAAATTCCTTGTTGTAAGCTCCTGTTTACTGACGTAATCCTTAGAGAAGAAAATGGTTAAAATCGTGTTTTTTTCGAACAATAAATCGTTAATATCTCGAAAACGGTAGATTTTAGAGAAGCATATGAACTTTTTTGTCCAGAATACCCCAAAAAGCCTATAAAAATGTATTTCGAGCGAAATAGTAGAAAATTACGAATTTGTTTAAAAAAAATTGTTTAAACAATTTTTGACCATTAGTAACGTCTGGCAACATGCGGATATGATTCAACGGTCATTTTTTTAGTAAGATTATGAAAAAAAATCAAATGAGAATCATGTTCCTAGCGGGAGCAACGATACAGCCTGGACTAATACTTATACATATTATAAAACATACCTACAATATAATATACAAAAAAATATAATAACATAATATATAGTATTAAAAATATAATCATTACAGATTTCTCCATTATTATAAGTTTATTTTTTGAATATTCCTAAAATTTTGGTTTATAGTTTATAACGTATAATAAATTCTAACCCTTAAATATAACCTAAGTACAAATTCTTTCGGAAAAGAATGACACGGATGACTAAAAGGTAGTCTTTTAATTAATTCAAGAAATGTGCTACAAATGTTATTTTTTGTGGATAATTGTTCAAAATTATCTTGAAATATCTTTTCAGTGTTACAAATGAGCTCAAGAAAGTTATCGTTTGGCATATGCAATTGTCTAAATAACGTATCTTCATTTTCATTATTCCCGTTCCCGACAAGACAGTTGGGCAGCTGTATAAGCTGTGATAAAACCAGAGAACACTATACCAACGAGAAGCGACAGAATCGGCGGTTCCTTTGATGTTTTGTGGTCACGCTAGAGTCATACTTCTATAAATATACCGAGCACTGCATATCTTTTACATTGAATGACCTTGTTCCCAAAAAGAGGGGATAAAAAGTGTACATGTTGCACTTTGTCAATTTTGCGCAAGCCCGAAAATTTAGCGGATTATTTCAAATGAAATTTAATAACTGATGTACTATTAACAGAGCAAAATTACCAATTATTATTTTGTATATCTAATTATACAACTTGTTAATTGTAATTTATGAGAATGTTAGATAGTGAATGTAAAATAAAATGGGTACAATAAAACGGAATCCAAAAGAGAGTACAAGTGTGTTATTTATATAAGTAAACATTTTTTGAAATTTAAAATCGATACATCTTCACAAAAATTCATATAAAAATACACATTATGTACAAATATGTATACATAAAAATAATAACGAGTTATACCTTAACTAACACATAGGTACCCTATATAAATAATAATAAAAATAAACCATATCAATCATATTAACCTAAGTGTTTCGTGATTCACTGTACCAGATTTAATTTGATTTTCTAATATATGCTAAATATCAAGTCTTATTTTATTAAATATGATATAAATTGTTCCTAGGTATTATTTTTCAAATAAAATAGCTGATCCAGTTTGTGATCCAAACACAAGTAGGTACATTAAGTGTCGTTTCTTTATTTGAACATGATCACGTAAAAACCATGTTTGACCTTTCGCCATATGTAGAAGATGTGGTATCATATATAGCGGGCTTTGTAATTTCACAGGTTATAAAAATAATTTCTTGTGACATTTACAAAAAATATATAAAGGGAAACTACTCGTCTCCTTTTAATATATAACAGTAAGAGTTCACCATGAAACACGAAGTCTCTCATGCATTAGCAAAATGTGGAATTTCCAGCTACTGATTGGACACGTAAAAATTTGCTTTAGCCAATTTCATCAATACATTACCCTTAATTAATAAAAATCCTCAATCAATAAAACTTTAGGTATCCATAGGGTGTAAAGATATACATTTTTACTTATAAACAAATTTTGGTCTTCTTTTTTATTTTTTGCTAGATTCATCGCTTCATGCCAGTTTGTTCCTCTTTTCTTTAAGTCTTCTGCCACTACTTGGTCCTTGATCCCATGTTTTTTATGGGTCTGCCTGGTCTGCCTCGTTTCCTTTCCTTTTTTTTGTTTGCCAAATCATTTTCAGCTGTCTTTCTATTCAAATTCATAACCTATCTTCGGAAATGACAATGACGTTAACCGACAAACCGACCAATGGGAAAATGAATCATAGCACGTGCGTATAATACACAAAGTGCAACGCCACCACTTTTTGGCTTCAATTCCCTTTCAAAATGCTTTGTATATGTATAGAAGTATGTGGCTAGAGTCGACCGATTTGACAGAAACATAATCGTTTCAGAGATATAGAGTGGGGAGAATGCTCTTACAACCTGCGCGGCTAATAACAATGGTCGCCATTTTGAACATCATGGTTGCCAACACAGATAAATTTTAGGGAAATTTAAATAGGAACAGGGAGAGGCAAATTTAAAATGCAATACCAAAAATAAAGAATCAAATTATATAAGCACTATTTTTTATTTTAATAGTTTTTTTTTCAGAAATTGGTAAATATCTAAAAAAATTCTATTTTGAAATATAAAGATAAACTAGTATAAACAATAAATAATAATGATTTTACATATTTTATTTATTGATGATTAAATAATATTAACTTAGTTGTTTTCGTATTAGATGTCCCTGAATTTTTTTAGTTTATTGTTTGCCTAAATTAAAAAATATTCGCATATATGCAGAAACAACACTTCTCGTTAGAATTAATATATGACTTTCATGCGAGTGATAACACTGTGCTCTGTATTAAACTAGAGAACATAGTTCTCCTGCACAATTATAAAATTGTATCACAGAAGCAACAAATACAATCATGAAATCCTTTTCATGTGGCAATTTATTTTCAGTGAATACTAAAAGTAGTCTTATTGCGGTTGCAGTTCAGAGCGAACAGCCGAGCTGAGCAGACGTGTTTGTTTGTGAAGTGAAGTGCATAGCAACGAGCAAGATCTACCTGCCTTTATTAAGGCTACCTGGAAAGAATCCCTTTATTTCCTTTTAATCACCGACCTAATCCCCGGCTTAAGCATAGACGCCGTCGGCATCTTTGTTTGTGTGTCGGGGTTATGCATAGGTAAGTTTTTACTTATTTATCAGTTATTTGCATTACTTTAGAATACATTTCTTTAAAATTGCGACC